TGAGCAGGAGCAGATATTTTAAAATGAGCCCCACCCTGCAGACCTCCACCCAGGTAAGTGAATCTCTCTACCTGAGCTAAGCTGTCATGCTATGTGAACTAAGTTGTCAGCTTTCTGATAAACAGGATTTTGGTATTTTTGACGGTGAACTGTGGAGAGCCGCCCCACGTTGTGGAGCCCTGTAGGTCATGCGTACCCAGGGCCTTTCCCCTTTCAGACAGGCCTGCTCACCTGCTCCGGAGCCTGCTCCTGTGCTCACGGCAAAGACAGAATGAAACTTGGCAACACAGCCAGATGCTTCTCTGGAAAACTTGTTTGCGGTGCCTCACGCCTGAGGGCTGGAGCAGTTCTTTCCACTTGTTGATTTAAAAAAAAAAAAGTTGTTAAAAGACAGCGTTGGATGAAGTCATCTGTCAGCCTAAGGACACCTTATTCTGTGCCAAAAGAGGGTCATTTTATGTAAAGATTAACTTCACTAACTTGCCCTAAGCGAACAACCTTGTCTGATGGGTTAGAAATAACTTTAGATACTAGTGGAGGAACATTCCTTCCATTTGTCTGCTGGTGGCAGGCATCCCAAATGGCTTTTAACCTCTTTTCAATTTGTTCCTAACTGTTCTTAACTTTTGGGGAGAAGCATTTGAACTTTGCCCTGGGCCTGGAGCTAAACAGTGACAGGGAGGCCTGGTGCCCATTTCAGGTTCGAAATAGCTGGAGTGTTTTCTTAGAACTTTGAGGTTGAGTATGCTCTGGTACATTGTATCCAGAACGTAGAGGTTGAGTGTGCGCTCGTACAATGTATCCAGAACGTGGGGGTTGAGTGTGCCCTTGTATGTTGTATCCAGAATGTGGAGGTTGAGTGTGCTCTAGTACATATTATCCAGAATGTAGAGGTGGAGTGTGCCCTTGTACACTGTATCCAGAACGTGGAGGTGGAGTGTGCCCTTGTACATTGTATCCAGAACGTGGAGGTTGAGTGTGCTCTAGTACGTATTATCCAGAATGTAGAGGTGGAGTGTGCCCTTGTACACTGTATCCAGAATGTGGATGTTGAGTGTGCCCTTGTACATTGTATCCAGAACGTGGGGGTTGAGTATGCCCTTGTACATTGTATCCAGAACGTGGAGATTGAGTGTGCTGTAGTGCGTATTATCCAGAACGTGGAGGTGGAGTGTGCCCTTGTACACTGTATCCAGAACATGGATGTTGGGTGTGCCCTTGTACGTTATATCCAGAATGTGGAGATTGAGTGTGCTTTTGTACCTTGTATCCAGAGGAATCCATGTGGCAGGCATGATGGGTGTATGGTATGAAAAGAAGGAAGAAGGTGGTAAGTTGTCTGAATGCCATGTTTTCTTAAGATGCATTATCTACAAACAAGATAATTACAAAGTCACGATCGATGTTGGTCAGGCCTTTACAGAGACGATTTAGAAGCAAATTAAGAGTTCCTGTACAAGAGTCTAATCCGGGTTCTTCATGTTCTTGAGGCTGTATCCAGATGGCCTATATAGTCAGGCATGTCTGTCAGATTTCTAAACATGTGATATAGTTAATGCCTTTAGTATCCTAATGAGACATCAACACTGAAACATTGGCCTGAAACCTGTTGAAAATTGCCGTCCTGCGTAAAGAAAGTCTCTACCGGATGCTGTTAACAAAGGGCTTGTCTATTAGAAATTAAACTTCTCTGATGCGTCAGCGAAGTTTGAAAACGAAAGGAAATGGGACGAGATGTGTTTTAGAGGGCAGCCCTGCTATTGCACAGAATTGTCTTGAAAAATTCTGTTGTCAATAGGAGGCAGGCTTTCTGGTGTGGAAAATGGACTTCTACATCAGTCCTGGCAGCTTGAATACCCACCCCAAAATATGTCAACCGGCCCACTGACAAAGCTATTTTAGGAGGCATCCTAGTTTTCAGACTGTAGGGTTTTAAAAAACCTGTAAAGAGAAAGTTCATTCTCGTGGGTTTTGCGCACATGTGGACCGATGCAAACCGTGGCCAGGGGGAGGTGAAATAGCGCTCTTCAAACTTCATGATCTTGGGGTCTTTTTACTCTCAAAAAATGAGGACTTGAAGGAGCTTTTCTTTATGTGGCTTTTGCTTGTCAATCATTATCCTATTAGGAATTAAAACAAATTTAAAACGTATTTAAGAATGTATTTAAAGTAACAACCTCAAGCCAATGACAGGTTGTTACCAGGAGGATATTTTTTTTCCCCAATGAATAATAACAATATTCTCAAAAACAAAAAAAATTAGGAAAAGTGGTGGCCTTGATTTGGTTTTTTGAATTCAGTCTCTTGACTTACCGGCTGAATGGAAGGCCCCTGGGCCCTCTGTTCTGCTGCTTCATCCTGTGTCTTGTGCGTATGAAGAACTGGGCCACTTTCACAGACGTGATGTTGGAAAAGGCAGGACCTCACTGCAACCCCGGGAGCATCTTGGGGACAGTGCCCCAGAGAGACTCAGGCCGCCTGGTGAGAATGATCTGTGAGAGGCTGCTTTGAAGAAACCTTTACTCATGACCCCGACGGAAGCCGTCCGTGGACCGTGTCCTGCAGACAGCTCTGCCCAGCTGCCCTAAACGTGCCCTCTCCCTGCATGTCACCTTCTTTCCTGGGGGTCTGGAGGTTCTGACGTAACTGTCTACACCGACGGAGATGATGCCGGGGGGGAGGGTCCTGCTGGTAGTGCCTCCTTAAGAAGCCACTTTGTTAGGGATTCTTTGTGCTTTGTGTACAACACTCTGCTCCAAGTCCCGTGACCCTCTTCAGCCAAATAATAATTAATAACAATAATAGTGTAGTAGAAGGATCTGATAGAGAAGAATTGTGTCGCTCAGGGAGCATTTTACAGGTCATATTGCAGACGGGTGTGGCGTTGTGGGGTTCTTTTCAATTTTTCCTTGACTGCCTTCCCCACGTCCAGGTACCCCATCCTGACTTGGCTGCAGAAAGTGCAGCTGTGGGGTTTCTCTTTCTGGAAGTCTCGGCCCTGGTAGATCCCCTCCACCTGTTCTGGAGACTCGGGTCTCACCTCTCAGCTCCCGACCCAGACTTGGTCACAGTAACACGTCCTTCTGCCACACCCCTGGCCACCGAAATGCCCCATTAATCAGGCCCATTGGGGTGTCTCCCTGGAAAGCCTCAGGCAGGTCCTATTGACCACAAGCCAGCATGGCAGGGTGTGACTGTCTGTGAGGACGTGGGGGGCATTCAGAGAACCCTATCCCGCATTGGGGGTGATGTCAACACTTAGTATCTTTTATAGTTTCACCCTCATCGTAAGAGTGCCCTGGAGTGGCTGTAACCAAGTACCACTGGCTTAAAACCACAGGAATTCATCCTCCCCCAGTCTTGGAGACCAGACGTCTGAGATCAAGGTATTGCAGGGCCGCGCTCCCTCCGGAGGCTCCAGGGGAGGGTCCTTCCTGCCTCTTCCAGCTTCTGGGGCTCCAGGCGTCCCTGGGCTGGTGGCCGCCTCCCTCCCATCTCTGCGTCCGTCTCCACGTGGCTTCTCCTCTGTGTCTGTGTCTCCTCTTCTGTCTCTGATAAGGACACTGTCGTTGGTTGGATTTAGGGCCACCCTCGTCCAGGACGACCTCATCTCCCTCCTTCACTTAATCACATCTGCAAAGACCCTATTTCCTAATAGCATTCCATTCTGAGGTTCTGGGTGGACATAAATTTGGGGGACACTGTTCAACCCACTATACTCATTATTGAGATTTGGGTCTGAACACATTCCTGACACTCAGAAAATGCCTAGTTGGTGCCGTTTGTCATCAAACCCCCTGAGTGCTGTACAGCACGTTGAAAACTTGCACGTGTAACAAACAGCGTTTAAGGAAACCCAGCTGCCCTGGTGGGCGTCCCATCTTCATTGGCTGCTCCAAGGGGCGACCGGGTTTGTGGTCATTCTGCCACAGTGGGAACCCTGGGGGCTGGCTCCTAGGTCACCAAAACTTCCCCACCAAGAACCTGATAGTGCTTGCACCCTACACAGTAAATATGTATTTCTGTACCCAGGTGTGACTGCCCCTGGTGGGCATTTTGAGAAGTTCCAGGGATCGAGAAATTCTTTATTGCCCCAGTGTGGTTACCTATCATGGATGCGTCTATGATTAGAATAGAGCAAGCCACGTTCAAAAAGGCATCATTTAGGGGCCGGCCTGGTGGCATAGTGGTTAAGTTCACATGCTCCACTTCAGCGGCCCAGGGATCGCGGGTTTGGATCCTGGGCATGGACCTACACACCACTCATCAAGCCATGCTGTGGTGGTATCCCACATACAAAATAGAGGAAGGTGGGCACGGATATTAGCTCAGGGACACTCTTCCTCAGCAAAAAAGAGGAGGATTGGCAACAGATCTTAGCTCAGGGCCAATCATCCTCACCAAAAAAAAAAAAAAAAAGAAAAAAGGCGTCATTTAAAAACATAAAATTTGAAGAAATTTTCATGCCTTTTAGCCATCCTGAAGACCGCTAGGGCCAAATTAAGACCCCGTTTTTCTTCTTTGATGTGCTTGAGCGACCTCAGGTGGCGTGTGATGCCCGTTCTTGCTTACAACGAGCTTTAAGGCGGTGGTGGGTCTTCTTGGGCTGGCTGGGCTCTTGTGAACATGGGTGCATGCTCGTGGCCTCCAGGCATCCAGTGAACAGTTTCCCCAAAAATGACCCTGCCCTGTGGGTGCCGGGTCAGTGGACCTTCTAAAACAGTCCGTAGTAAACGTCTCCGATGAGGAGAGAGCTCGCAGGAGCACAAAGAAATTCAAAGCAATGCATGTTTTCAGATGCGTGGAATCACCCCATACGTGGGATGGGCCTGAGCAGAAGCACGCGCCCATGGGCAGACTCTCCCCTCCACTTTGCAAAAGCCGTGTACGAGGAAAGGCCGCCCGATGGGTGACTGCACCCTTTGTTTCCGAGCGGAGCGTCTTGGGGGCCGTGCCCGGGTCCCTTCTCACGCTGTGTTTGTCTTGCTGCTTGTTAGCAGGTGCTCAGGAATGAGCGGAGGCCCGGGAGGCAGGCCCCGGCGGAGGAGCGATGGAGAGTAAAGGCCTGGACGGCTCCCAGACGGATCTGAAGCTTGTGGCGCACCCCCGTGCCAAGAGCAAGGTCTGGAAGTACTTTGGCTTTGACACCAACGCCGAGGGATGCATCCTGCAGTGGAAGAAGATCTACTGTCGCATCTGCATGGCTCAGATCGCCTACTCCGGCAACACCTCCAACCTCTCCTACCACCTGGAGAAGAATCACCCCGACGAGTTCTGTGAGTTCGTCAAGAGCAACACGGAGCAGATGCGCGAGGCCTTCGCCACCGCCTTCTCCAAGCTGAAGCCCGAGTCCTCCCAGCAGACCGCGCAGGATCCGCTGGCCGCCAAGGCCGGCCACGGCCACGAGAGCAAGAAACAACAAGAGCTGACGGCCGCCGTCATCGGCCTCATCTGCGAGGGGCTGTACCCCGCCTCCATCGTGGATGAGCCCACCTTCAAGGTGCTCCTGAAGACGGCCGACCCCAGGTACGAGCTACCCAGTAGGAAGTTCTTCTGCACCAAGGCCATCCCTGAGAAGTACGGCGCTGTCCGCGAGGCGGTGCTGAAGGACCTCGCCGAGGCCTCCTGGTGCGGCATCTCCACCGACCTGTGGCGCAGCGAGAACCAGAACCGGGCCTACGTCACGCTGGCGGCCCACTTCCTGGGCGCCGGCCCCGCCAGCTGCCTGGCGGTGGGCTCCCGCTGCCTGAAGACGTTCGAGGTGCCGGAGGAGAACGCGGCGGAGACCATCACCCGGGTGCTCTACGAGGCCTTCATCGAGTGGGGCATCAGCGCCAAGGTCTTTGGGGCCACCACGGACTGCGGGAAGGACGTCGTGAAGGCGTGCTCGCTGCTGGACATCGCCGTGCAGATGCCCTGCCTGGGGCACACGTTCAACGCGGGCATCCAGCAGGCCTTCCAGCTCCCCAAGCTGGGCGGGCTCCTGGCCCGCTGCCGTAAGCTGGTGGAGTACTTCCAGCAGTCCACGGTGGCCATGTACATGCTCTACGAGAAGCAGAAGCAGCAAAACGTGGCCCACTGCATGCTCGTCAGCAACCGCGTGTCCTGGTGGGGCAGCACGCTGGCCATGCTCCAGCGTCTCAAGGAGCAGCAGTTTGTCGTCGCCGCCGTGCTGGTGGAAGACAGCAACAACCATCACCTCATGCTGGAAGCCGCCGAGTGGGCCACCATCGAGGGGCTGGTGGAGCTCCTCCAGCCCTTCAAGCAGGTGGCCGAGATGCTCTCTGCCTCCAAGTACCCCACCATCAGCATGGTGAAGCCCCTCTTGCACATGCTGCTCAACACCACACTCAACATCAAGGAGACGGACTCCAAGGAGATCAGCATGGCCAAGGAGGTCATCGCCAAGGAGCTGTCCAAGACCTACCAGGAGACGCCCGAGATCGACATGTTCCTGAACGTCGCCACCTTCCTGGACCCCCGCTACAAGAGGCTGCCCTTCCTGTCCGCCTTCGAGAGGCAGCAGGTGGAGAACCGGGTGGTGGAAGAAGCCAAGCGCCTCCTGGAGAAGGTCAAGGATGGCGGCTACCGGCCGCCCGAGGACAAGATCTACGCGCTGCCCGAGGAGCCCCCGGTGAAGAAGCTCGTGCTGGCGTCCACGCCCCCGCCCACCAGCGTCATCAACAGCATGCTGGCCGAGATCTTCTGCCAGACGGGGGGCGTGGAGGACCAGGAGGAGTGGCACGCCCAGGTGGTGGAGGAGTTGAGCAACTTCAAGTCTCAGAAGGTGCTGGGCCTCAACGAAGACCCCCTCAAGTGGTGGTCCGACCGCCTGGCGCTTTTCCCCATGCTGCCCAAGGTCCTGCAGAAGTACTGGTGCGTGGCGGCCACCCGCGTCTTCCCCGAGCGCCTCTTCGGCTCCTCGGCCAACGTGGTGAGCGCCAAGAGGAACCGGCTGGCCCCGGCGCACGTGGACGAGCAGATCTTCCTGTACGAGAACGCCCGCAGCGGCGGCGGCGGGGAGGCCGAGCCCGAGGACGAGGACGAGGGCGAGTGGGGCCTGGACCACGAGCAGGTGTTCCCCCTGGGGGACGCCGTCCACGGTGGCTTCTTTGGGATCAGGGACGGCGGCTTCGTGTAGCGGGTGCCGACGGGGAACGGTGCCGGGGGTCACCCCGTTGGACGCTTGGCTATAGGGGCGACCCCACAGATGGTTGCGGTGGCCCGAAACAGGGATGTGAGAAGACGAAGGAGACGGGGGTTTTGGGGTCGGAAGTTGGAAAAACGAGCGTTTCTTCTGGGAGTCCACGTACATCCAGTGGGAGGGAAGTAAATGATCTAAGAAAGCCCTAAGTTCGGCTTCTGGGGCTCTCCTACAGATTGCAAATACTCAATATTTGCAAGACTGCTTCCCCCACCCCGAGGCAGAGCCGGGAGGGATGGTTCACTTCCCAGATCGTTAATTTCAACCCGCACCATTCGTGTTCTCCGAGGGAGGGTTTGAGGTCAATTAGAGAGAAATCGAAACTTATGGGGAGATGAGAATGAAACCCCCTCCCTTCCCTCCCCCAGGCACCACCATCGGGACTGTAGTGATCTGTCGATGGTGGAAGACACAGTTATGTTTTCATTCGAGTGGGGAACCTTGCCTCTGGGAAGTCAGGAGATGTTCTTGAGCCAGAATGCCCTGTTTCGAAGAGAGACAAGTTCTCTGTGTGGTGGAAAAGGTTAAAAGCCAGCACTTTTAAAAACGCAGAAAAGAGCTGTTGAATGTGTTCTATTTTCTGCTTCCCCGTAAAGCTCCTCTCTCCCCTTGCCAGACTTGGCTTGGTGGACGTGGTCCTTGCAAGCCTGGTCTTTCTTTTGTGTCCGATGCTTCAAAAGTCCGGTTTCCCCAGAATCATTTTCCTCGGGGTGGTGGTGAGGCTCCTCCTTTAGATACACGCAACCCTCAGGTGCCCACGGTGAGTCAGATTCGCTTACAGGAAAGGACTCTCGAATTCTCTCTTAAACTCAACACCATGAGACCCATTGATTTAAAAAAAATTACCACGGATGGTTTTACCTCCGGGGGTCATTGTAGATGGCTTTGGCTGCTTCCGGGACTTAGAAACTACTTATTTAACTCACTGCCTTTCAGGAGGCACAGCACGTGTCTTTGATCCCTGCGTGAAGACGCCCCACGTCTGGGAGGACGGGATGTTGGGTTGTGGGCGTTTCCAGATGACCCGACTCAACTGTTGGCAGTATTCTGCCTGGACCCCCACCCTCATCGCATCCCGGAGGCTTAAGGAGGGAATTTCTCCATGTCAATGGCTGGTGACTTTGGCGGCCTCGAGCAGGGCGGAATTTTATCTTGATGTCACGAGTTGTGTATGTTTTTAGGAATTCCAGAGTGGAAGACGGCCGCTCAGCCTCTGCTGTCTCTTGGAAGGAAAGCAGTTGAATGCTTTCCAAGCCCTCAGCTCTGAGTGTCCCCAGGAACGGGCGGCCGGAAGGAGCTGGTGGACTGGCTTTATGACTTGTCCCCCTGTGCTCCCGGGTTGGAAAAACAGGCTCAGAGACGCAGGACCCACCTACATGGGGTTAGTTCTGTAGCCGCACAACCGACCCCCTTCACGTTGCTGGAAATCACTGGTTTTCTGTAATTCACTATGAAAACGTGTGTTGCTCGAGCCAGCCACCTCTCTGCATTTCTCATCTTTCTTTCAGCCCTCGTGGCCAGGCCTCCTCATTGGTTGTGCTTTTATTTAATGCTTTGGACTTTGACTCCTGTTCACTAAACCAGAGAAATAAATAAGGTCCGGATTTCTTGGTCTGATGTGTGTTAATCACACCTGCGCTTTGACTAACCTCTTCAACCACGAGGGAGGTTTTCTTTTGTGTGAAGAGAGTTTCCAGGCCACCAAGAATGACTCCCCTGTGCTCTCCTCGTGGCTCCTTAGAATTGATAAAGGGTATGAAACACTTCTGGATTTTTTTTGCATCAAAACCTCCACGTGAATAAAGCTGTAACTGGGGAAGCCTTGCCTGGGAGAGGAGATTTTGCATTTTGCTCCCCTGGGTGTCTTTACATTGGGCGTAGTGACGAGGCAAACGGTTTTATAAACCCAGGCCTCTTTGAGCAGTGAGCATCGACCGTTTATGCCTAAGGGAATGTGACTTTTCTCCATCCTTCCTCGCTTCCCTCTCTCCTCCTTCCTACCTCTTTGGAAAACAAGGTATCCCAGACCAGCATCGTCCTGCCTTTCCCTTCCTGCATACGACTGGTTTCTTCTCTTCCTGGGCGGGGTGTAATTAAAATGTTTAATTTTTGTACACAAACATTTTGAGTTTACATGGGGCTGTTTTCACTCACGATAACCCAGCGATTCCGTGGCGTTCTCCATTTTCATAAGCGGCATGTGTCAGTTAAACGTCTCGGAGGACCCGTCACGGCAGGCGTCGATAATTTCTTATAAAGACTCACTCCCTCGCCGTTACGGACTGCTCTTATCTGGGTCTGCACAGCTCCCAGCTTCCGCAGATTCGCGGGTCTGCGTTTGTTTGATGCTTTGATCTTGGTGCAGAGTCATAATTTGGAGCTGTCTATGTGTGTGTGTGTGTGTGTTTTTCTCCTCTGCAGAAGTTCCTTATTTTATCTATTTTCAGAGCAAGTAGACTGAGAACAGTAGCTGGGGGGAACGATCGATGGGGGTTTTCAGTGTTCGTTTTTGGTGCCGGGGCATATGGCAGAAAGCCCGATATCGGGACGTTCCGGTGGCCCCAATTCTTGAGTGTGGCCAGACAGGCGGGTGGGGACGGAGGCTGCCCTGCCGGGCGGCTGCCCCTTGCTTCTGCTTTTGTGCAAAAGGCTCTGTCGTGCGTGGAGTTCCAGACAGACGTATGTTTCCATATTCCGACGGCAGTCTGGGGAGGGAGCGTCTTCTCTGAGTGGTCCCGGCCCTGTTTATGGTGGGGGTCCCACCAGAGCTGTGTTCGCTCACGTAAAACCTCATCAGCTCTGGGCTTTTTAAACAGATTCTCCTGTGACCTTCACTAAATAACAACAGCATTTGCTTACTCCTTCCCGTTTCTCTGATTCGGTTCTTTCCTCTGGGGGTTATTTGCAGGATCCTTTCAGATTTCAGTCCTTGGAGCCATAGTTATTCAGTCTCAGTTGGTGTCCCTTGGCTTCAGAGCCAGACACATGGGGCAGGAACCAGCCAACTTGGTCAGAGAGTCTACTTCTGGCCGTGGACCGTGAGATCCCGTAGATCCTTCTTCAGTGGGCTGGGTGCCCATAAAACCATGTGGATGCAGAGTGTCCTGTTCAAATTTCACATCATTTGTATGCTGTGAAGTATTTTCTCTTCTTTTGACTTTCCCAACCACTTGGAAACGTGGAACTCATTTATAAACATCAACTCCATCCTTAGCTCACGGGTCTTGTAAAAATGGGGGCCGAGGGCCATGGCTGGCCCTTCCCGGAGCCTGGACCGCTGTGGGGTTTTCTGCCATTTCCTCGTCCTTTCCCGAATGATCTCTGGATCCACCCAGCTCCCTGGGTTTGAGAAACAGTTGCGTCTATCTGATGAGAGTTCAGACCGTTTTCCCTCAATTAGCTGAGTTCACGGGGTGTGCATTCTCCGTCCAGATTACCTTCTCAGGAGAGGAAAGCCTTTCTCCTGGGTGACGACGCTCAAGTGGCCTTCAGGTGCGGGGTCGAGCTGCAGGTGCACAAAGCACACTGGCCTCCTGGAGACGTGGGCTGCCCCCAAATGCACCCTCTCTCCTGTGAGCTGGCACCTTGGGGCCTCATTCATCATCTTCCTCTGCTGGTGTTAACTCTAAGAAAGCAGGAAACAGACTGTATCAACCCCTCCGTTATTGCAGGATCTTTAGAGTTTAAATCACTGCCAGCACTGGATAGAAAAAGAGCCCACTGTGCTTATTTTCATACGAATCATGTAAGACGAACCTCATGCCTAGCCTCACCCCGTGGCCCCACACCCCTGACTTTCAGAAGTCCTTTCTTCATTAATTCTTTGTCTGGACCCCCAATCCATGCTCGGTTTCTTCCCGGCCGGCTTGTTTTCAGACCTGCTTGCAGCCAGAGCTCTCGCGTTCCATTTGCACCTGCTCCCGGAAGGCAGGCGTTACAGCGCGTCTGTGAAATGAGATCCCGGTCTCCGAGCGCGGCCTGACACGCCCGGGAATGCAGAGCGACGGGAACATCCCCGGCTTTCCGAGCTCCCTGCACGGATCTGCTCCCAGAGCTCGTTTTTCTCGGTTCTGGGTGCAGTCTGCACAAATCCTGGACTGAGAGCTGGAATCCTTTCCCGTGGCAGCCCTGTGGGTCCTCGAAATTGTACTGAATCGAGAGGAGACTAAGTCGGGTATTTTGCAGCTGTCCTGGCTGCCGGAACGGGTTTTGCAGCCCTGTCGGAAGTGCAAGCCATTCTGTTCTGACATTTTGCAGACTGGTGGCTTCTACGTGGGGGCAGCCCCTCGGCCACATTCTTGTGAGCCTTCTTATCTGCGTGATTCCTGCTCTCCGGGTGGGAGGCAGCCCTTGGTTTTGGGGGTCACGTAGGCGCCCGCCATCCTCTCACTTGGGGTCCCTTGAGTGCCTGGTCCTGTTTGCACGTGGTTATCGCAGACGTGCCCACCTCCAGGTCTACTGCATGGTCAACAACTTCCTTTCTCTGGATGCTGGTTCCCCAGAGATGGCTTGCAGCCATCTCTGCATGGCCAGAGACGCAGACTCGGGGTGCCCCCCAGACTGCGATGCGGAACCTGCATTTTCACCGGATTCCCGGGGGGCCCGTGCACAGCAGAACTTTATTGTCCTTCTCTGCGTTTCGGGGTCCCATGGGCACCCCTGTGGGGGCTCTTTGCCTGTTTTTTTTTTATCTGGGAGGATTCTTAGCATATCCGCTCAGAAGTCAGACCTCTGGCTTCACGTCAGTTCGAGAAGCCTTGCCCACTTCTGATTTCAGGGCAATTTGTTCTGCTTCTAAATTGACCCAAACTCACTTGATTTTCTTGGTGACGTGACACGAGACGGGACGTGCAGATGGCATGTTGTGGGGGCACATTCCTTAGGAGGTGCGTCCTCAGGGAAACGGGCCATGGCTTTATCCGCCAGAAGGACGGAACGCTGCGGCCTCTGGAAATG